ACACGAGGGGACATAAATGGACGTTGTCCTCCATGTCTCATTATTTTTATTTGATAGTTGTTACAAAAATATTGATATTCCAAAAATAAAGTTCTGGATTTTTATTTTTATTTTTTACGAATTAAAAGGTGATCTGAGATTTTATTCATATTAAGTTTTTTGCCCTGTTGATGCTATTTAATGTCCAAAGCAATGAAAGTTTTGAAATCTGAAATCAAAACTACACTTTAAAGCTTAAATAAAAACAAACTGCTAAAAGTGTAAGTGAACAAATCTGTTGAAATACATTTCTAAAAAAAAACAAAGTTGTTGAAAGAACTGAAGAATGTGTTTCTGCGAAGAAATTGTAAATAAAGTTTAGAAAGATTAGGTAAAAGTCAGAGGGCTGTTTTAGATCAATCATTTTGATGGACAAATATTTTACACACAATCTGCTGACTCAGCACTCACACACCTGACTTTTTCTACCTTTTAAATGTAAAAGTTCAGTCAGTATATTTAGCACAAAGCCTCAAAGCAGGGCTGTCCAAACCTTTTGTCACGTGGGCCAAAATCATCAGTCAGAAAGAATTTTTCCTTTACCTGCTCAACAATAACGAATACTTTAATTAAACAAATAAATTAGTCAGATTTATTGCTGGACATGGATGCATAAATTAATCAAAATCCAGAAGTGTTTTGCAGGATTCTCTTATTGAAAGAAATTTTGCAACTTTYTAAGTTTCAATTGGGGAAAGAATAAACCAATTTAGTCAATTCTGATCAATAAAATCAGGATTTAGGTCACTCTTTCATTGATTTAATAAATGTAATAAATTAGTTAAAAGCAGATTGGAGGGCAGCAAAATCAGCTTTTGAGTAGAAGTAACTAGATGTGGGAAAAACTAAGATTTAAAGACAAATAATTGGTTTTGTTGCCAATATTTTTTATTGGAAAACTTCAGCAGAGGCCACGCCTCCAKCAAGAATCTCCTCTATGGCTGAGAGTCCGGACCCTCGTCTGAAGCAAAGTGAAGGACGAGGGTCTGGTTTTTAGGTGTACAGGGTTCAAAAACAGCCGACAAAATCCACCGTGTGTAATCGTCATTTTGTCGCATTTTCATCAGCTACTTTTGCTGCAGCCCAGTTATACTGGGAGATGGGAATTTCCCATTTACAAGTTGTAAATTGAAACTGGAATTTCCTGTCAGGAAGTGGGAGAATTCAGAATTCAAGATGGTGACTACTCACAACTCAACAGTGAGTAAAACTCTTACTTTTAATAGTATTTCTGTGTTATTTATTTCATATTTAGTCAGTCGTGCACCTAGTACTTTTCAGTGTTTATAAGAGGTGTTAAAATGTTGTTATATGCAAGAAAAACCACATAGAGCTCAGKTTTTTTAGGAACGTGAGTGTTTTAGCTGAAGTTGATGACAACTGTCTCTTTGAGGCCAACAACAATACACTGCAAAACTGTCCATCTAAACAAGTCTTTTAATCTTATATCCAGATAAATATGATGTGTGTAAAGTAAATACAGGGTGGCTGTGGCTACGATGTAGCTTACCACCATCAGTGTGTGAATGTGAGTGTGACTGGGTGAAACTCTAAAGCTGTTTGGGGTCTGGAGGGACTTGATAAAGTGCTCGATAAGTTCAGTCCATTTACCATTAAAAAGTATTTTTTAAATCTTGTTTTGACATTTATGTATTAAGTAGAACGGGTTAAATTGTCTTGTTAGCCTGGAAATTTCCCTTATTTTAAAATTTGCAAAGGTCTTAGTCCATTGGCAGATTATTTACCTTAATTTGAGAAATTTGAAAAGATTCAGACTCAAATGAAGTGAAATAATCTTCCAACTGCACTTTGTAAGATTTCTTGAAATCTTGAAATGTCTTTAGTCTCTCTTCTCTACATGTTTATTGTTATTATTTCTATCATGTTGTTTCTTTGTCTCTTCCAGAAG